CATCTTTAGTTCTAAAAAAAGCGTGATTAGAAGCCTCAAGAACTGCTTAACATCAGCAGGTCATGTTTTGCACTATGCGACGTACATCAGACCTGCAAGACATAGGACCTTGTAAGAGGTAACACGAGGCAAAAAAGTCTTTTTTACATCTGCACGTCACCTTAGTTTGGCTTACAGTAGCTTTCTATATGAAACATTCTTAACTCCAGAATAATGATTTTTAACTAGTCCAGGATGAAAGTCATAAATTTACCACAGACTTACTTGTTTTATCTATTGTTAATAAGAACTGAAGTATTGTCATCTGTCTCTACTCCCTAAAAACCCAACTAAACAAGTCAGCTACAGAGGTCAGATTTATTCTCCCCTGACATGGAAAACAGGCCTGACCACTACTTGCTTATAGATCTCAGATGGCACAAATACCTCGTGTTTGTCAAAGGTGTAATGGTCACAGAAATCTTGAAGACATTCTTTCGAAACAAGTGTTTCTGGAAATTAGTAGTAATAGAAAACCTGATGTCTCGTGCCAGGCTTATTTAGAAGGCTTTATAGCCCATTACTTCTGGTCAAATTAGACAATATCAAATCTGCTTTCTATGTTAATGATTAAAAATGACTAGTTTTGAGTTTGCCATAACAGAGCCTCTCAGCTGCCAGGAAGTTAATTAGGAATGAATATCTGGATTTCTGGTCCAATCTCTTGTTCAATGCAAGGTGCCAACCTGAAAGTGAGACAAGGCTGTTCAAGGCCATTATTTCATGGAGTTTACGGTACTGTGAAGGACAAAGAGATAAAAGAATGGAGATACACTAAGAATAAAGAGTAGCACAAGAATACTGAGGAGTTGGTTTTTGTTTGTATTATGCCAAGGCAACCCAAGACACTTGCCTTATGAAAAAAAGAAATACCCTTGCCTATCAGTTGAGTGCACACAATCATTTGAGAAAGCAGAGGAAAGGTAAGTACAAAGAGAGATAGTAGCATCTGCCACTAATAACACATGAGGAACAGGGAAGCCAGGTTTCAGAAAGTACATTCTTTTGGAAGCCAGTGTAATTCATTGGCAGATTTTGAAGGATGCAATGCTTGGGAACTATGTCACGAACTCAGGATCACAAACATTTGCTCACCTCTAGCTTGTGCAAATTGCTGTCATCTGAAGGCTGATTTTACCCCACCTCTGAAAAAACTAGCTATGTTCATTGAAAACCTTGCACTGATTTCTCAAACCTTCTAGTGCATGAAGGACCTTCAACACCTACAATTTTAATCAATTTTTTTCCACAGAAGAAATGAATATACAGTTTTTCAATGACAAATGTGCTTATTAGGTAATTATCCCTAAGTGGGGAAAAATAAAATCCCCCAAAACACTGCTTAAATCAACTACTCAATCAGGCAACAAATAAAAGTTTCTCCAGTATCTGCATAGCTCGAGGACATCCATTTGTGCTGCTATTTGCAGAAACCTTGTGTGCATTCCAAACACTTGCATCCCAGACGCCTGTCACTTTTCCTCAACAGAAATGGGCCCAACAGAGCCCATTACCCAGAGACTTTATTCTTCCGCAAGCAACTTTTGTTAGTCTGAACTCCGAGAGCTAATACGTACTTTCCACACTTTTCTTCTCCAATGCACCACGAAGTCGGAAGGGCTCCTGTTTCTAATGCGTTTCATCGCCTTTTTATTTTTGTTTATTTTTTGTTCGTTTGGGGGTTGTGTTTGTTTGTTTTTCCCCCTCCCCGCGCTCCCCCCCCGCGCCTGCGCGGCGCGCGCCGTTTCCTTGGGAGCCGGGATTGTTTTGGGCGGAACCACGCACGCGGCGCTGCGGAGGGGGGAGCGGAGGGGGCCAAGGAAGAGCCCACTGGCGGAGGGCAGCGGGGGAGGCGGGGCGGCCGCAGCAGCCGCCACGGGAGCGGACGGGGCCGACGTGAGTGATGCCCTCGGCGGGGAGCGGGGCCGCGCCCCGGGCCGGGCCCTGTCGGGCCTGTGCCGCCGCTCGTCCCGGTGCGCGGCTCCGGGGGCGGGTAGGGCTGGATAACGCCT